GGGAAGAGGGTGATTTCTCACTTTCTGTCTCTGTCTCTCTGGTGAGCTCACACACCCTATAGTAAAATAATTCTGGAAAAAAAAAAAAAGAACAAGTGTCTAGACAATGCAGTATACCTAGTTTGAACCAAGAAGGAATAGAAAGCCTGAATATACCAAAAACAAGCAATAAAATTGAATCAGTAATAAATGGTGTCCTAACAAACAGAACCGAGGTCCTAATGGCTTCACTTCTAAATTCTACAAAATATTTAAACAATAATTAATACTAGTTATCCTCAGAATATGTCTTAAGATCCAAATTGAAGAAATCCTCCCTAATTCATTTTGTGAAATTATTATTGCCTTGATAGCAAGAGGAGACAAGAACACATTTAAAAAAAGAAAACTACAGACCAATGTCTTGTATATCTATGATGCAAAAATCCTCAACAAAATACTAGCAAACCAAACATAATAGCACATCAAAAAGATTATACATCATAAACAAGTAGGTTTTATCCCAGGGATACAGGATGGTTCGACATACACAAAAGAATAAATGTAATACATCACTTTAACAAAAGGAAAAATATGATCAAATCCATTGATGCAGGAGAAGCATCTGATAAAATACAACATTCCTTCATGATTATGAATCAACAATGTAAGTATAGATTGCCATACTGCAATCCCTTCTCCTCCATTCTCTCGGAATTTTTGCATGCACGCCTAGTGTGAGTTTTAAGCCACCTGGTCTGGGACTTGAACCTAGGTCAACTACATGGGAGTCCAGTGACACAACCATTATGCCATCTGCTGGTCACAGAAGGTACTTTCTTAACACAATAAAATTCATATCTAACAACTCCTTAGTTAACACCATGCTCAATGGGGAAAAGATGAAAGCATTCCCACTAAAAACTGGAACATAGGGGAACCAGCAGTTAGCGTAATGGCTATGTTGCTGGACTCCCACGTAGTCGACCGCGGTTCGTGTCCCGGACCCGGTGGCTTAAATCTCACGCCGGGCGCGTGTGCGTGCGTGCCCAAGATCCTGAGAGGAGAATGAAGGAGAAGGGATTGCGGCGTGACCATCCCCCCTGGGGGGTGATTTCTCGCTTTCTGTCTCTATGTCTCTCTCTGTCTGTCTGGCGAGCGCACGCGCCCTACAGTGAAAATCTCTCCAAAAAAAAAAACTGGAACATAGCAACTTTGTCCATTTTTACCTCTCCTTTTCAACATAGTATTACAAGTCCCAACCAAATGTAACCAGACAAGAGTGTGAAATAAAAGAATTTGAGGGACCAGGAGTTGGTATAATGGCTATGTTGCTGGACTCCCATGTAGTCGACTGTGGTTTGAGTCCTGGACCTGGTGGCTTAAATTCACACCAGGAACATGTGCGTTCATGCCCAAGATCCTGAGAGGAGAATGGAGAAGAAAGGATTGCAGCTGGGCATCCCCACTGGGGGGTGATTTCTTGCTTCCTGTCTCTCTGTCTTTCTGGCAAGCATACACGCCCTATAGCAAAAAAACTCTCAAAAAAAGGTATTTGAATAGAAAATGAAAAAGTTAAATTGTCCTTTTATGCAGAAAATATGATGATACACATAGACATTCCTAAAGAATCCACACACACACATCCTCAAAAACACCTCCTAGAAATGATAAGTGAATTTAGTAAAATTACAAGATACAAAATCAATATACGAAAATCTATAGTATTTTATACACCAACAATGAGTAGACTGAGGCAGAATAGAAGAAAGCAATCCCATTTACAAGAGCCACATGCACACACAAAAATACCTAGGAATAAATCTAACCAAAGACATAAAAAAATCTCTACAATGAACATAGCTAGGAAAACCTAATGAGAGAAATTGAAAAAGATACTAAAAACTGGTTCAACATACACAAAAGAATAAATGTAATATATCACTTTAAAAAAAGGAAAAATATGATGAAATCAGTTGATGCAAGGAGAAGCATTTGATAAAATAAAGCATTCCTTCATGATTATGACTCAACAATATAAGTATAAATTGCCATACTACAATCTGTTCTCCTCCATTCTCCTCTTGGGATTTTGAACATGCATGCACACATGCCTGGTGTGAGCTTTAAGCCACTGGACTCAAGACTTGAACCGTGGTCAACTACATGAGAGTCCAGTGACATAACCATTATGCCATCTGGAAAGACATCCCTTATTCTAGGATTGAAAGATTTGATAACTAAAATATTGATAGTACCCAAAGTAATGTATAAATTTGACACAATTTCTAGCAAACTACCAGTGACATCTTCACAAAAATAATAATGATAAAAATAATAAAGTTTGTCTAGAATTATGAAAGATCCCATATCACCAATACAATACCATGTAGAAAGAATAAAGTTAGAGGCATCTAACTCCCTGATCTCAAAATATATTACAAAGTTGTATAATCAAAACAGCAGGGTCAGCAAGTGGTATGGTAGTTAAGATGCTGGACTCCCATTCCTGGATGTGGTGGCTTGCTTTCTCACTTTCCCTCTCTCTCTCTGTCTCTCTCTGGTGAATGCATGTGCCTTATAGCAAATTTTTAAAAAATAAATAATAATGATAATAATAATAAATAAAATTATATAAATAATTACTTTTTAAATAATCAAAATAGTAGGATATTGGCACAAAAACAAATACAGACCAATAGAACACAACAGAAAATCCAGGTTGTATGCATCAGGTGAACAATCTTTAAAGCATATTGTACTTGAACTAAACTTAACATTTTGCTGAAAACTTAAATTTTTTTTTCTATTTCCAGAACTAAAATACCAAGGGCAAATATAGAATGCAGATTTCACAGGACTGATAAAATTGCACAGGACTGTAGATTTCATAAATATAAGGATTCAAGACTAGAAATGCTGATCCATACCTAATATGTTCTCTGTGTGACTTTCTTGCTAATTAGAGGAATATTAATAGGTGTTTCGAGAACATTGGAGCATCCTTCTAGAACTTGAAAGGTTCTTTTCATGGACCCTCAGCCCAGGCCAAGCAGATATGTTAACTTTTTTTTTTTCTCTTCTGATTCTTTATTTATTTATTTATTTATTTTTGGAGAGATTTTCGCTATAGGACACATGTGCTCGCCAGACAGACAGAGAGACAGAAAGCGAGAAATCACCCCCCAGGGGGGATGGCCATGCCACAGTCCCTTCTCCTCCATTCTCCTCTCAGGATCTTGGGCACGCACACACACACACCTGGCATGAGTTTTAAGCCACCGGGTCCAGGACACAAACTGCAGTTGACTACATGGGAGTCCAGTGACAGTCATTATGCTAACTGCTGGTCCCTAGATATGTTAATCTTAACTCCAATCTTTCTTTCTAAATATGCCTTAGAAGAAAAATATTTCTACTTTATATAAAATGAAGATATTTATAGGTATCTGCTGCTTTTCTACAGGAAGACCAACAGGATTAACTGTACAGAATACATGCATAAATCATTTCCAGGAAAAATGTTCAGACCACCAAATAAGTAAGCATTTGAGTTTTTCACTTAGGCAACCCTATTGAATGATTACTGGATTTCCCAGATGGCTCCTACTGAAGAAGAAGACAGGCAAATACTCAAATTACTCTTCAGATTCAGGTGGCAATATAGGACTGCTAAGCAAGTTGCTTGAGCATTAATCTACAAATGGTGGACAAGACATTTATAGATATCATCTGAACTCCTTTCAGAGAGACTATTGTACGAAGTCTGAAATAATACCTTGATAAACTGCTTGGGAGCACAATGTATTTTCCCCATGAGACTGTCTGCTAAGGAAGGTAAACGTTGTAAAATATCCTAAACTAAATAACTTAAATATGCATATTTTTTATGTACTTTTGAAAGATAAGAGTAGTCACAACAGAAGTTTAGGGTAATTCTTGTACCTTAAAAGAGCTACATCTTGGAGCCAGCAGATGGTGTGGTGATTAAGGTGCTGGACTCCCACATGACAGACCATGGTTTGAGTTCAAGACCTGGTGGCTTGCTTTCTCACTTTTCCTTTCCCTCTCTCTCTCTCTCTCTCTCATCAAATAAAGAAAAAAAAATAACAATTGTGTGTGTGTTTCAATCTAGTTAAGTTAAAAAAAATGATAATAACAAATAAAATTCAATAAATAATTCTCTCTAAAAAAAAAAAAAGAGCTACATCTCGATAATCGTGCTGCCAGGTTCTGATGAAAGTAGATCTCAGACTGAATCTGTCACATATACAGATATTTAAAAAACATCCAGCAGTAAGCAGGCACAAATAGTTCATAATCTCCTTTGGGCTCTCTCTCCTGTTAGGTGCTCTTAGGGTCACCTTGCATAAAAGGTTTATTCCCAACAAATTCCTGATAATCCAGAGGCCAAAATCATCTTACAGCAGTGACTGAAGAGAGTACCATATAGGGTCCAAGCATCAGCTATTATCTCTAAGGGTGTACATTACCACTCACATTTTTATATCCTGTTTAGAGTAGGCCACTTCTAAATCCTTTAGCTTATTCGTAGACCTTATATTTTCATACAATTCTAACATCCATCATGTTTATTTGTAAACCACTGATCTCATTAACAAAAATTCAATTGTGACCTTCACTGTGGTAATTAACATTTTAGGTGTTAATCTAGAAGGAGCAACTGAAGCCCTTGTGGTGGTCATCTCTGTAAACCAGCTTTCTGGTACAAATATTAGCTCATCATCCCTGAACAGAGCACCCATCGTTAGGGAAAATCAGCCTCTCTTATGAGAAAAGCTTAAAGTGACTAATGCATGCTTATTATCACACTGCCTAAACTGTGGTGGTTTTAAAGAATTACAGGCATAAAAATAGGTTTTTAAATGGTGAGTTTACAAAGTCTCATTTGCATAGTTTATATTTATTATAAAAGAAGTTACGCATGTATTCTCTCTAATTCATTAACTAAGGTTGTGAATTATGTTTAAAATTCAGTGCAATTGAATCAAATCACTTACTTATTTCTTCTTAACAGCAAGAGAAATTTACTTTTTAATTTTTGCATGTTGTCTTAAGGTTGAATTTAATCCACAATCTAAGAAAAGGAAAAACACATATGGATTTTACACACAATTTGTTTAAATAACATATAATATCCCTCCAACTAGAAAGAAAGTCACACAGAGAACTTATTAGGTATGGATCAGAATTTCTAATTTCTAATCCACAAATTTAGGAAATCTACAATACTGTGCAATTTTAACAATCATGTGAAATATGCACTCTGTATTTATCCTTTGGTATTTTAGTTCTGAAAATAGAAAAAAAGTTTTTGAATGTTCAACAAAATTTAATTTTAGTTCAAGATGCTTTAAAGATTGTCCCCTTGAAACATAAGACTCAGAGTGTGAAACAAAACCTATTTCAAGCCAATTTTACATCATCATAGTGATATGGCATTTTACCCTGAAATACTCTGTAGAATAAATAAAAGTGGGAGAGAAAAGAGATGTGCCCCTCAACATTTCATAGAGGTGATTTATGTCATGCAATAAAAATTAGAAGCCACTGGAAAATAAAGACACTGCCAATTAAAATACATTGCTAAGTTTATAAACAATAACATAATGTCCCCACTGAGGCATCCAGAAATATGCTATAAGCCCCTGAACTCTTGGCAAGGAAAGAGAAATGAAAACAAGTATTTCTTTTTAAAAATAAAAATAATAGACCAACTTTTTGGCATAAATGTTAATTTTGTGTTTTGGGCTTGGGTCATAACCATCTGAAAATTCCATACTTTTAAGGGGAAAAGCAAGCACAAACCCCAAAGTTCTCAGTTACTGCCTAATCCGAAGATGTGTCCCAGGTACATTTTTGAATAATGAATCAAGATAGGCCCCAAGCAGAGCCGGAGTTCTGGGAATACCCTCTATGTGCAAAGCTCCAACCATCATACCTGCAGGCAGGACTACTTTTGTTGAGGCCTCTGCAGCTTAGAAAAAAATGGGAGTAGCAGGCTGTGGCAGGGTGGGGTGGGCGGAGGGGGGACACACATGTCTCAAGTCTCATGATTTGGATGCAGAAATTCACCCTAAGGGGTGCAAACTTTACTTGAGATGCTGATAGCAGTTTCTTTTCCTTTCTGCCTTTCAGAATAATAGCTTTTCTTCTTTCTTCCTTCTTTTTTTTTTCTTCTTTCTTTCTTTCATTTTTAATTTCCCCAAATCAAGTCAAGTCTTCACCCAATTCCTGGCCAGCAACAAGGTTACTGCTAGCTGGCCCTGCATCCTCTAGATGTCCCCTGGTCCCTAAGGGTAAGGGAATCTGGGAGAGCTTCAGGAGGGAAGAGAAATTTAATCAATGCTCCCTCTAGCTGGGCACAAGGCAAATATTCCTATATACAGGCTCCAAGGACCCCTCAGTCAACCTCCTTACATCTCTCAGTTGTTCCTCTAAAATTTATCTTTATATTAGCCAACACAGAGAACAGAGGATGGATGGGATTACTTACCCAGCAACCTCACCCCTGGTCTTTACCTAGTGCTGAGAATAAACCATTATTTGAATAAGAACTCGGTGTCCATGGGAACCTCAAACAAAGGATTCCTAGTAGTCATGAAATCTTTGTGGGGAATAGAATGACCTTGGCCCTAAATTAAAGAGACCTAAAAACATGGGACCAGCAGTTAGTGTAATGGCTATGTCGCTAGACTCCAACGTAGTCGACCGTGGTTTGCGTCCTGGACCTGGTGGCTTAAAACTCACGCCGGGCACATGTGCGTGTGTGCCCAAAATCCCGAGAGGAGAATGGAGGAGAAGGGATTGCGGCGTGGCCATCACCCCTGGGGTGGTGGTTTCTCACTTTCTCTCTCTCTGTCTGTCTGATGAGCACACGCACCCTATAGCGAAAACCTCTCCAAAAAAAAAAAAAAAAAAAGACCTTGTTCTTAGAGATTGAGGGGGAGTACGGGTGTACCAAGATTAAAGACCTCAAGATAATAATCTCAGAGCAGAGAATGTCTCCCTTACTATTTTTTCTCTTGAATCCAGTAGAGGTGATTCTTATTTATTCTGATGAAGGTTACATTGAGCTTTTGGCTTCCACTATTGGTTGGAAGGAATGACTAGAGGGCTAAATGTTTTCTAGCCAATATTAAATTGGACTGAAATAGGCAAGACCAATAGTCAGGACTCAGGAAGGGGGTGAAATTTCATTTATTCAAGTTACGATTTCACAGAATTGAGAGGAAACAAACAGTTGCAAATTAAAATAAATCCATAATCCTGGATAGTAAATCTAAAAGATGAAAACAAATGCCAAAGCTTTTAAAAGCTTTAAAATGTAGATGAAGGGACCAGTGGGTGGCGTAATGATTACATCACTGGACTCCCACGTAGTTGACTGCTTGAGTCCAGAACCTGGCGGTTTAAAACTCACACCAGGTACATGTGCATGCATGCCCAAAAGTCCCAAGAGAAGTGATTGCAGCGTGGCCATCCCCCCTGGGGGGGGCGGTATTTCTCACTTTCTCTCTGTCTCTCTGCGTCTCTGGCAAGTGCACACACCCTATAGCAAAAAATATCTCAAAAAAAAAAAAAGTAGATGAAGCATTAAAAATTTCTGTGTGGAGGGGTTAGCAGGTGACATGGTGGTTAAGAGTGCTGGACTCCCACATGGCCAAACATGGTTTAAGTCCTGGACCAGGAGGCTTGCTTTCTCTCTTTCTCTCTCTCTTACTCCACTCTCTTGCACGCTCTCTCTCTCTCTGGTCAAATTAAAATAAATTAATAAACAAAAGTTAAATAAAATAATTCTTTAAAAAATTTATGTGAAAATTAAAATATAAAAATTACCGCAAGAAGAGGAATACATAAAGATCCATTTGCCAGTATGTGTTGGTACATGATCTGATGCTGAGTAAATGGTCACAGTTGAAGACATGGAAAGAAATATTAAACTCACATTTTTTTAGTATTTTTGTAAAGCATTCTATAAGATACAAAAATAAATAAAACATAGTCACTGACTTCAGTGACAGGTTAATAATTTTCAGAACTGAAGACATAGAAAGCAGCTTTTGGAGGGGACCTTCTTTCCTAAAGGATGATAAACTATTGAGGAATAAATAATGAGTAATTTGGGGGTGGTAGAGTATTAAGGAATAAAGTCAACTGATGTTGCACATACAGAGTAGTTGCTGGGTTGTTGAAGTAATATTTGTTGAGATACTTTGTACAACAGGTGGAATGGGATGTAGCAATACTAAAGAAAACTCATTTATGATAATTTTTCCTTCACAGGAGCACAGTGAGTTGGATGGACCATGCTTCTCCTTGTACAACCAGACAAACTGGTGCAACCAGTATGCCCAGTTCAAGATGGTGACCCCAAATCTCTATGTTCACATACAGTGGGTACTTATATTCACTTGTGATCAATGTGTATACAAGTCATGTGCAGGGATGACCTGACAACACATATGAAGTCAACAATTTAAGAGCTTCATGATTGTTCTGGATCATCTCCTTTGCTGCTTTTTACTTACTTTTCCATACTTCTCCATTTATTCTGTCCGGGGAGAGTGATCTTTATATAGATTTTATCAATAATCTCCCTTGACCTCTGATCTCCACTTGAGTTCAGTTAGTGGGAGGCCCTGTGAGGAAGTCAGAAGTCAAGAGAGAGAAAAGTCAATGTACTCAAACCCCATGGACTCTCTCACCCAGAGTTTGATAGTGGCTATGACAGATTTATCCCTAAATATTTCTATTTTTTTCTATTTAATGTTTGTATTAAAGGAAAACAAAGCTTTATTAGCTGCTATGTGACTTGGAATATTCTTGAAGATGATGAGGTCCCCTGGACAGCAGTCCTCATCCACACCCAGCAATGAGAAACAGGATTCAGTTTGCAGGGCCAATCAAGAGCTGTTTTCTGGGAACCTTTGGTTCTGTTTTTGCTGGTGCTATTTTTTTTCCCTCTGGGATTTCTCCTGGGTCAGCAAGCTCCCACAGTCCAAGGTAAACAGCTTTTATCACTACTGCAGTGCTACCACTGTGGTCATCAGGGACACTCAAGTGGGTCACGTTTGGCTTTGGACATAACAGTTCCAGTGTTTATCTCAGTGACTGGCCTTTTTGGCATTTCCAATGTGTGTGGCCATCTCTGACTTCTAAGTCCCATTGACTTCAGCTGATGGTATGAAAAAATGTTTCCCCATTACTTGCTGGAGCTTAAGTCCTCAAAATATAGAAAGTAAGGCAGAGGTTTGGGTGTGGCCCCACAGCCTAGTGTTTGAGGGAGTTAGATGCCACATGGCTTACCATGACTTGAATCTTGGCCCTGGTGGCTTGTAAAACACTCTGGGTATACATGCATGTGTGCCCCAAATCCTGAAAGAATGGAGGAATGGGAGACTGGGGACTACAGTGTGACTATGCCCCTTTGTGGGGAGGGTTATTTCTATGTCTCTCTGGTGAGCACACACACCCTCTTGCAATTAAAGACTAAACTAATTAATTATAAAAGGGAAAAAAAAAACTTCCTTTTTTCTTTTTAGGTTTTTGCCATAGGACACATGCACTCTGTAGAAAGAGACAGAGGGAAAGTAAGAAATCACACCACAGGGAGGATGGCCATGGTGCAATAATCTCTTCTCCATTCTTGGTATTTTGGGCACACACACACACACACACACACACATACACACCCAGTATATCCCTAAATATTTCATAATTTTTAATAATATCATAAACAGTATTGTTCTTAAAATTTATTCTACAAATTATAACATGCTCAATTTTTATTTTTAGTCATGCCAAAATACTTTCTAATCCCTGCTTGATATGATCTTTGACTCATATACTGTTTATAAGTGTTTATTCTCTTTCCAAATATTTGGAGATTTTTCCAGAGGTTTTTTGTTTTTATTTATTTATTTATTGCTTACTATAGGGTGCATGCTCTCCTTAGAAAGACACAGAGAGAATGAGAGAGAAAGAAAATGAGAAAGCATTTCTCAGTGGAAGGATGACCACACCATCATCCCTCTGGCCTTAAATCTGAGTTCACACACACACCTCTCCTCTTCGCTCTTTGAGGACTCCAGGGAGCTTTGTGGCCCGGATCAGCTATTGTGGAAGTAGGTCCTCTGGATCTGGGTCCTGCAGAAAAGACAGTCCGGCATGCTTTCCCTCAGTCTGGGTGAAGAGGGCAGAGCCTTCTTCTGGCACTGAAGGAAGCCCTGTCCTTCAGACTAGTCCTGACCTTTTTAGAGCACTGGGCTCTTGGGGATGGAGGAAGGCAAACCCGCACGGTGGCAGCGTCTGAAGTGCCTTCTTGCTCATTTCATGTCTCACACAACCATACTAGGAAGGTATTCACAGATTTCCATAGAACCGAAGAAATCTGAGCCTTAGATTCTGCCACTCCTCTGGAGTTTCGATAAACAACCTTCAGTCTTATTTTATCTTATTATCACTATCTCCGTGGAGTTCCTGAAGTGAGGAGTTCCACAGGTTGGGCTCAACCTCAGAGAAGGCGTCCGAGCCCCCTGAGGCCAGGACTCTAGAGGGCCCGCAAGGTTCTGAGGCTGTTCCCCCGCGCTGTGGGGTAAGCCCTTTAGGCCCCACAGGCTGAGCGGTCTCTCCTGCCGCCAGAAAGCCCGCCTGGCCCTTACATGTAAGGTTATGTCCCAAACTCTTGCCTGAGAAAAATACTAAGGTGAAATTCGGTTTCCTCAGGTGATGTCTCCAGAAACCCGCGCCATGACACCTGACGGTGGCGCCCTGTGGCCCCGCCCCGGGCACGCTGGGCGGAGACTCCCAGAGATCCCTGCGCGGAGACTCCCAGGGATCCCTGCGCGGCGCTCAGCCCTAAGAGCTCCTTGAGCATCCCGCGTGTTGAGCCAGAGGCAGCGGTGAATGAGAGCCTGCGCAGTCCACGGAGGAGACAGATAACCAAACCGAAAGCTACCGCAGTGTGAAAACTGCTGGGACCAAGGAAGTAGGGAACGAAGGTCTCCCAGACACACATCTCTTTCAGAGGAAAGCAGGTATGAAATACAAGTCTCGTTAAGGGTTTGGTTCCCCTCGGATAGTTCTGGTTCCTCTGTGAAGTGAAGCTACTCCCTGCTGCTGGGAAGCTAAAGTTCAGGACAGCGGAGAAGGTTTGAAATGGTCCTGAGTAGTTTGGAAACAGTCAGTCTAGAAGACCATAGAAGACCATGATGTCAAACTCCGTGAGGCAAGCAGCTTTCTGGGTTTTAAGTACCGTGCCTGAGACGGGGCAGGGTTTTTTTTTTTTTTTTTTTTTTTTTTTTTTGGAATTTTTTCTTGT